AGTACATAGAACCATACCAGAAAAACACGTTTCCTAATCAAACTATTAGAATGTGAGCCCTGGATCTGCAAAAATGGACCAATACATGAAGCGATTTTTAACCCAAAAGAACACACAATTATCATTAACGAAAGAAAAGATGTCGTTCCAAAAAAAACTAAAGAAAAGAATCCATTGAATCAAACACATATTAATCGAATAGATTAAGTCACACACTTAGAAAATTAGAGTGAATAAGTGTTATCGGTCGGCCAGAAGGGGCCGTCGTGGGTTTTGGCTAGGGTTTCTGCCTTTGGAATCGAGTTGGGAAAAACAAGAAGACGCCTATCTTTGGAATCGAGCTACACCTGTTACTTATATGGCTTTATGTTTTTTGGAGTTTGGAATCAAGCAAGGTATTGAGTCGATTTGGGAGGATAAATTAGGATGTCGATTTAGGAGGGAGGATTGGGTGGGAACGAAATAAGTAGGAGGGAAATAAAAAGTCTAATGAAATAAATGGGAGGGAAATGAAAAATCAGCGACGGATTTTTACCTAGTGATTATCTAGGGTTTTCTTCCGTCTCAGATTCTGTCGCTAATCCCTTTTTAATCCCTCGCTAAATAGATACAGTTTTGGGTATTAAAATACATATAGCTTCTGTCACTAATCCCTTGCAAATCCGTCGCTAATTAGCTAGGGATTTTTTTCCGTCGTTGATTCTGTCGCTGATACCTGTTTTTCTAGTAGTGATTCTTTTCCTCTTGCTGTCATTTGATCATTGATGCCTATTTAATTTAATTTCTTTCTCAAATTAATTGAAGGCAAAGAACATCACACGATTAGATTGTATAGTACTTCATATTACTGTATACCATTCATTTCCAGAACATTCCCCTGTTTCTGTTTGTACCTTTTTACACATTATCAACAACATGAAGTTAGAATACGAATTTCCTGAATTGAAAGATTCTTGAAATGATATTATTTTCCTCTTTATAGCTATATGTATGTAGAAATTAATTACCTACTCGATTTAGTTGAACATGGATATGTGGTTATGCTATAGAGACTATTGAGTGTGTTCCAATTCATCTTTACCTTTAATATGAGAATAGAATAATACTATCCCTCTGAATGTTTGGAGATATGTGTATTGTGGTCCGATGACACAATGGGATCGAATAAAAGAAAGGATAAAATGTGGTTAGGGATACGTGTGAAGTATGTGAAATAAGTTGTTTATTTTTTTTTATTTTTTGTTTCTTTTTCATTGTTGGTTGCTATTGTTGTATGTGGCAGATTATTCGTGTCCTTTGACAGTGAAGGAAGTGAAGAACAAAGCTCCATTTGAAGTTATTGTTAAAAGATAATATGTACAAATGGACTCTTCGAGTTTATCAAGGAAAAGAAGGACCTCAATTTGTTGCTATCTTAAGGTACTCTCTCTTTTTTTCCAATTGTAGTAACTTCTTATGGTTTTCTTTTTTTGTAATAAGCAATTGCAAGATCCATGTCAGGGAAACTCAACGAGTTGAGTTTATATGTCAGGGAAACTCAACGAGTTGGGAGGCGCCAACTCGTCGTGTTGAGTTTATATGGATGCGCATTTTTTTCAAGACCTACTCGACTAGTTGGAAGGCCCCAACTCGACGAGTTGGTGACTAATTATGAAACCCTAATTTTTAGGGTGTTGTACCCTATTTAAGGACCTTATACTCTTTGAGTGGCCTCCTTATCTGCCCCTCTGTCCAGAAAACCCTAGCCTTGAGTATTCTCTTCCATTTTTTAGTGTGTGTGAGCTTAAAGAGTGTCTCTTTGGTGTCTTCTTGAAGAAGCTTGAAGTTGGTGGTGCTTAGCTAAAGGGAGAAGCTTTAGATCCGGAAATTTCTCTGTTGTGGCAGCCATATTGAGGTATAAAGTTGATACATTGATTATTTATTTGCTAGATCTCTTCATTTGAGAGTTTATTGCCACTATTAGCTTATTTTGGGATCATTCTTGGTTTTGAGCATGTCGTGAAGCTATAACTTCAGATCTGGACATCTCATGGCCTATTTGGACTTAAAGTTGTCAGCTTTATCAAGTCTTGGCCCTCTTTCATGCTCTAAGTCCCTTAATAAGATTTGTTTAAGTGTTTTAGTCTCTTGATGCCATGCATGGACGTAAAGTTAGCAACTTTACGTGGTATTTCAACCATAGGGGACCAGATCTATAGTTTGGGGCATTAGATTCGCTTGGGAAGTGACTGAATGTGGTAAGACTAGGAAAACTCGACGAGTTGCCTTGCCAACTTGGCAAGTTGGCTCGGGGTTTCCTGATTTTTTGGTGCTGTAGGAACTCGACGAGTTGATAGATGCACTCGACGAGTTGGGTCAACTTGGACTGTTGACCTTGACTGTTGACTTTGACTTTGGCCATGATTGACCAAGTTTGACTGTGAGGGTACTTTGGGTATTTCGGGATTTTGATGGAGTAAGTCATATGATGGTTGTAGGCAGTTGAGTTATGAGCTGTGTTTTGGATGTTGGATCTTGTCAGCCAGTGCTACTTGTGAGGTGAGTCTTCTCACCACACTCATGGGTCGAAGGCACCAAGGCTGGCCCATTAATTGTTATGATATGTTTTGTTTTGAATGTGAAAAGATATGTTATTTGATTTATGTATGGGTCTATGTGAAGACCATGGGGGGAGCCCATGGCATGAGGATATAAGACCATGGGGGTAGCCCATGACATTCCATTGAAAGACCATGGAGGGAGTCCATGTCAATTTGTATGTATATGTACGAGCATGAAATTATGTGATTATATGACTTGTGTGGTTGGGAAACTCACTAAAGCTTGTGCTTACAGTTTATTTGAATGTTTTAGGTACTTCTATTGATAAGGGCAAGGACCCGACTTAATGACGAGGCATGCATTCTCCAGTGTTTCACAATTAGCTCTTTGTACTCCAAATTTCAGAATAACATGGATATGTAATGGGATCTTTGTATTTTCTATGGTTGATGTTGTGAAATTAAAAGTTTAAAATTTTTATGAAAATTGGGCTGTTACAGACTTACAGTTCGGGTTGTGGATTGGTTTTCAACAAAACCGAATTATTATTTTGGATTTCGGGTTAGTTTGATTTTTGTTTGTGTTGTGTATTTGTGGATTTATGGTTGTGCTATTTTCAAACATAAACAATTATTGGAGTTTGTAAATTCTATGTAATTATCTGAATGATTGTTAAGGGTTTTTTTGGAAATTTAAAATCGATCAACCCAGGTTCAACATGTTTATTAAATATGTTGGTTTGGGAAAACAATAAACATGGTTAACCTGATTTCAACAAATTACTAAAATTTTTAGGTTATGTTGAAAATTTTTAATGTGTTTAATTAAAAATGTTATCCCGATTATGACCCAACATAACCTATTAACACCAATAGGTATATTTCGGTAGTCGTGCCTCCACATGAAGTAAAACAACTATTACACACAAAAAAAGGCCTTTGATATGTGAAAACACAATCATCTTTAAATTTTGAACTTAGATTGAAAATTTAAAATCCATTATCGATCAAATCGACCGAACACATTACTTGAGTCAAAAAAATAGATCAAATGCATATGATTTATCATGAAAGAAAAATAATGAAAAAAATAATAAATCTTAGGAGAACAGAAAAACAAATTGCTAAATGAAGTAATTTTGTCCAGCATTACCCTTACCATATAAAGTATTTATCATAATCTCCAACTCCTCGAGACCTCTTTGTGTTGTCACGAGCTGTGTAATTACTTACAAGTTAAAAGTTCGGTTCCACTTAATCGTTTACCATTTCAAAAAAAAAAAGTTCAGTCCAATTTAAACTAGGTTAAATTACACTTTTGGTCTTCACATAATTGCTTTTTCTAATTTTAGGCACCTAAGTTTTCTCTTGTAATTTGGTCTTTATGGAGGTTTGTTTAATGTTATTGCCTATTGGTCCATTTTAAATAATGATTTTTGGTTTGGTTTTTCAAATTTTGTTACAAAAAGTAAATTATTTTACATGAAAAACAAGGACCAAAAATAATTATAAATAAAATTGAAATAATGATCAAAATTACAGAAAAAAATCTTTTTAGGATCAAAATTCAAGAAATCGGCCATACACAAGGACCAATGGTGCAACTTAATTATGTTGGATCTTGGTTGTGACAATTATAAACAACAATGGTGCAACTTAATTATGTTGGATCTTGGTTGTGACAATTATAAACAACAAAAAGTAACATAAACAATAATAAATCATTTAACAATATTGAATAGTAGATAATGAAACTAGTTTTTTTTTTTTTTTTTTTTTTTTTTTTGTACGGTTGTAGCCCAAAACCGCATCATTAAACACCAAAAAAGTCATTTTCAAATTAATAAATCGTAGAACCGCACTATTTAATAATTTGTTGGTGCGGTTATATAAAAAGCACATTAGAAAAAAACATTTATTGGTGCGTTTAGATCTAGGCCACATCATTAAAGATTGAGTTCCTTTATCATATTTTGGTTCCCAGGCGAAGCTCTCCAAACTTTCATTCCCTGTGCGATGCCTTACTCTTCCCCTATATATTTCCTTAATCTAATTTCATTTGGCCACACTAACCATAATATCTTCGACTACTGCCGCCCTCACCAACATCCTTGAGTCCTGTCACCTGGGTCCGCATCATCGTCGATTCCGGCTGCCACAACCTCCATCATATTTGATTTCGGTCGACCCTACTCCCATCGTTGCCGATTCATAACTTCAGGTCAACAACGTGATGAATCTGAATTCTCTTTGAAGTGTCGACCTCCACTATAATCATCTTTGTCCATCGCGATCAACCCATCATCAAGACTGTCGGGTATGTTTCTGATATTCTGATTTATAATTTTGATTCATAAAATTTCTTAATCTATGTGTCTAATACTCTGATTTCTTAAGTTATGGTGTGGAAGAAAGAAGAGGTTGGACAAAGAAGCTTGTGACGTTCAAAGGAGAGCACATATGTTTGCAGGGGAAGATATAAAGGTGGATAAAAACCAAAAAAAAAAAAAAAAGGAAACACCATCATGTCTTTTATCTACAACAATTGAATTAATGCAAGTTTTTTCCTTTGTGTTGGTAATCTTTAATATAACTTGTGTAATTTACCTTTTGATTAAATGGATTGTATGCATTTTGATAAAATTATTTTGTAATTTAGCTTCTGAATTCCTACCGAAGCGAGGCAACAGATTCAAAGGTGGACATCATCTCTAAAAGTCTGCAAGATACCGAAGAGGGGCCATATGAAGATGGTGATGATGAAACTGAACATGTCTATATCAAAAAACTTGAATATGCTTTTGTAGTTACCTTCCTAAATAGCTTATATACCTGTAATTAGGGGTGAGCGTGGTGCGGTTTTTGGCCAAAACCGAACCAAAAACCGCAACTTCGGTTTTTTAAAGTTTAGAAACCGCACCGTTCGGTTTTATGCGGTTCGGTTTTTGCGGTTTTTTGCGGTTCGGTTTTTTTTGCGGTTTTTTGTCAATTATTTTATTTGGTTTTTGTTTGGCTTTTTTAATAAAACTCAGCAACTCAACGAGTTACTTTGACTCAAATGAGGAGTGTTAATCATTTCTTGAGAAACTTTATATAGAGATGAGGAGCGCTAGATTGACTCTCTTATATGAAACGTGAGAATGATGAAAGTTTTATCTCAAAGGTGATCAGGGATACTCTTATAAGGCTGACAAAATTAAAGTCCAAATGATATCTTGGAGATGAACTGATACCACCACCTCTTGGTTTAAAATCAAAGAACATAATCACTCATCCAACATATTCTAATGCTTGAATATAATACAAATTAAATATAATATTTATGAAGGTGATAATATCAATTAATGTATTAATAAAAATGATATTATCGTCACTAGTATTCTTCATATTTAAATGTTAAAAAATATAATAAACATTATTTGTTCTTGTAAATATCACTATACGTATGCTTAAAAATATACAATAATCTTATGATAAGATAGATATTTATATTTATAGATTTTTAATTGTCATGAGTTCTTAGTTCTTACAAATATCAATACCTAATATATATATATATATATATATATATATATATATATATATATATATATATATATATATATATATATATATATATATTCGGTGCGGTTCGGTTTTTTGTGGTTTTTGTAAGACTAGAAACCGCACCGCACCGAACATTTTCGGTTTTTGCAAAACTAAAAACCGCACCGTCGGTTTTCATTTCGATTTCGGTTTTTCGGTTTCGGTTTATGCGGTTTTTTCGGTTTTTTCGGTTTGCGGTTCGGTTTTTGCTCACCCCTACCTGTAATTTAATATGCTTCTGTAGTTATTATATCAAATTGTAAACAGATACAACGATGAAAGGTTAAAAAAATGGGAGTTTTTGTTACATAGTTTGAATCTCCTTCATTGTATGGTTTATGCCTTTACATATTTTATGATTTTTTGGTTTTTTTTTTGTTTTTTGTTTTTTTTTTATTTTATTTCCGTACCGTAAATTAAGCGGTTTATCTTTGTAATGTTAGTGCTCTTGAGATTTCTTTTTTTATTTAATGGAGCGGTTCTAGCATTTAATAGAGCGGTTGTACTCCTTTTTTAATGGAAAAAACCAATGTTTTAAAACCCGAGTTTTTAGTTGACCCAGTGTGATGGACCGATTCACGGGTTAACCGGTTCAACCGATTGAACTGTCGGGTCAACCCGTTTTATGGTCTTTTTCTATTTTTATATATTTTTACTTTCCGGCATAATGCATAAACATATATAACCAATAATTTGATGTCCACAAAGTTTAAACATTGAAAAACATTGAAGAAATCACAAACGGCTCGTTGTTTTGGCGTTCGCTACTTGTATCCAACTATCCAAGCCTTATTAAAACGGGTCAATCCGGTTTTAACCGGTTCGACATAAGCGGTTGAACCGCGGTTTAGGGGAAACCCGGCCGGTTCGATCCGGTCCGTATTTTTACAAAAAACCGTTCTCAATTGACCCGCCTTCTACCCCGGGTCACGGTCCAACCGGTTGAACCGGCCGGGTCGACCCGGGTTTTAAAACATTGGAAAAAACATTTGTTTTTTGGTGCGGTTGTTCTATTTTTTGGGGCGGTTTTATAACCGCATCAGTAAATAAGAGTATATTTTGAGGCGATATTTTTTTTGTGCGGTTCAATACCGGCATCTGTTAATCATTTTAACCGAATCAAAAAAATCTTTCTTTACTGGTGTGGATCTTGCGATTACAAACAACAAAATAAACTATATAGGAAAAAATGATTTTACTTCTTGAAACGTAAGAGACAAAAAGGACACCTGCAGGCTTCAATCAAACTCTTGTGGATGCTAGTTCACTTGATTGCACAACAAAGAAAAGAAAACAATTGAACCTTATTGTGCTCTTTCTCTTGACTTCGGCCAACAAAAAAAAAACAACGTTCTTTCTTTTTGAGTTTCTATTGTCCAAATCGTGAGTGAGCCACGTTTTTAATCCAATCGTTTTTGTTGAGAGTGCCGAGAACATATATCTCCCTTCATCAAAATTTCGTGAACCACAATTCTTGGATTTTAAAACAATAATGAGAAGCATAAATATTAGATTAAGTCAAATATAATATATTATCATTTTCTTTTTTAACTTGCTAATTATTTATAAGCATATCTAATACAATTTAAATTACTTATAAGTTAAACCATCAAGCTTAGTAGCTTCTAATAGATTATCATAATAATGATGAATTAGTAACTAGTCCTTCCAAAAGGGTGTTTTTTGTATTTTGTGTATAACCCAATAGGACTATACATTTTAGTTAAACCATGTAAAGTGTAATTGATTGTATATTATGAAACGTAGATTACAATCCTATATATATAAGCTAGATATTTACATTTAGATACCCTTTAATATAAACACTATCAATAGACTATCTAAACATATGTCTAACATTTCCCCGCAAGCTGAGGGCGGGGAACGACCTGCAGCTTGGACCGTAAAAAGAGAAATCTCTGAGAAGATAAAGGCTTAGTGAACACATCAACAATCTGATCATTGCTAGATATAAACTGGACTTTTAATTGACCTCGGGAAAGTTGTTCAGGAACCAAATGAAAATCTATTTCAACATGTTTTGTCTGGGCATGAAAAACCGGATTTGCAGAGAGATATGTGGCTCCGAGGTTGCCACACCATAGTGTGGGAGAGAATTTTGTAGAAAATCTCAGTTCATCTAGGAGAGCCCTTAGTTAAAGCAACTCAGCAACAGTGTCTGCAAGAGCCTTGTACACAGACTCTGTGGAGGTCCTTGAAACAATTTGTTGTTTGCGAGCATTCCAGGAGATCAAGTTGGACCCCAAATAGATAGCAAATCCTCCCGTGGAACGCCAATCGACCGCACAACCAACCCAATCAGAATCAGAGGAGGCGTTAGTTTTTGAGCCATCAGTAGGTTCCCAGCAACCATCAGTGAAAGCTTGAAGAGAGGAGTCCAAGTTATGACGAAGAAATAGACCAAAATTAGCAGTGCCTTTAAGATACCGCAATATCCTTTTGACAGCAGACCAGTGGTTCTCAGTGGGAGCATGCATGAACTAACATACCTTATTGACTGCAAAGGCCATGTCAGGTCTAGAAAGTGTAACATATTGAAGTGCTCCAACAGTTTTTCGATAGGCAACAGGGTTGGAGAAGTATGGACTATCGTCGAGAGTCAAGATCTGAGTAGTGCTCATGGTAGATGATAACGGATTACAATCTTTTAGACCGGAGCGTTGAAGTATGTCTAAAATGTACATGCGTTGGGACAAAAGAATGTCATGGCCATGGGGAACAACTTCAATACCCAAGAAGTAATGCAGTTTGCCAAGATCCTTGATGGCAAAGGTAGATCCCAATTGATGAATGATCTGATCGATAGCCGTAGTGTCATTACCTGTGACAATAATATCATCCATGTAAACAAGAACATAAACAATAACACGACCTGTTTTGAGAATGAAGAGAGAGAGAGAGAGATAGAGAGGGATATATTTTGGATCCCAAAAATCCAAGACGGTGAAGAGTCGTCGACAGTCGAGTGAACCAGGATCGTGGGGCTTGCTTGAGTCCATAAAGAGATTTGTGAAGAAGGAATACATGATCAGGCTTGCTAGGATCAACAAAACATGGTGCCTGTCGGACATAAACTGTTTCATTGAGATCACTGTGCAAGAATGTGTTTTGGACATCCAACTGTCGTAAAGGCCATTTGTTGGTCACAGCTAGGGAGAGAATCACTCGAATAGTAGTGGCTTTGATTACCAGACTAAAAGTCTCGTGGTAGTCGATGCCCGGTTGTTGTTTGAACCCCTTAGCGACAAGCCGTGCTTTGTAGCGAGAAACTTTTCCTTATGAATCTTTCTTTAATTTGTACACCCATTTGCATTCAATTATAGTGGAATTGTGCACAGGAGGAACAAGCGACCAGGTTCCATTTTTTTGAAGTGCCTAAAATTCATCAAGCATCACTTTACGCCATTCTGGAAACTTGTTTGCAACAAAAAACGAAATGGGTTCGGTAAGATGACATGAAGGTACAGTGGCGGTGTATGCAGAGGGGCTGTAAGGGGTTTTGCGCTTGGGATTTTGGCGAAGGTTAGAAGGCCGAGAGTGTGGGGGTGGGCGTGGTGGAGGGGGAAGTGGTGATGTAGGAGATGTAGGTGTAGGAATGTCGTTTTCCTTAGTAGTGGGTGCTTCGGGATAGAGCTCTGGTGTGCTTGCTACATGAGTGTGAAAAGTAGAGACATAAATGGGTGATGTATTGGGGTTGAATGGTGATGGTGAAGGAGAGTGAAAAGGAAATACCTCTTTATTGAAGCGGACATGACGTACGATGTAAATGCGGTCCGTGACAGGGTCAAAGCATCGGTACCCGTGATGAAGAGGACTATATCCCATGAAGACACATGGAGTGGAGCGAAAATCCATTTTGTGTCAGTTATATGGTCGGGGGTGTGGGAAGCATTGAGAACCGATAACCCGAAGGAATGAGTAACCGGGTTTTCTATTCAAAACATGTTGAAAATGCGACTTGTTTGAAGAGATACGGGATGGTAGACGATTAATGAGATAGACAGAAGTTTCAAAGGCAAAATGCCAAAAACGTTGTGGAAGGTTTGCTTGTGCAAGAAGGGTGAGACCAGTTTCAACAACGTGATGATGGCGACGCTCAATAATGCCATTTTGTTCACTAATGTATGGACAAGAACGTCGATGGGTAATTCAAAGAGAGGAGAAAAAGGGAGATAGATTGCGAAACTCACCCCCCAATCAGTTTGAAACATTTTGAGCTTGGACTTAAACTGTCGT